CGTTTTTATGTCATATATAGTGAAGTTGAAAACATTTAGTTTTGACTCGTAATAAAATGCGGAGACATCGCCCTTAGGTAATTGCATGACAGCTTGTAAATCATACACTGCTACAAATACGTTCGTATCTTCTTTGTCTTTTCTTTTTTCATCTCTTGACAAATTTTTTTCATACAAGTGATTTTCATACATTTCTTTCATATTAATTTTCTCCACTTCATCCATGTTACTGTATGATGTACATTCTTCACACAAATCTTTTTTTGGGACGAAAAATGAGATGTTGAAGTCCTCCGTAAAAGTTCTATAGAAATAAATGTAGTTGCAAAACGGCTCATTTTTTTCTTTACACATGTCTACGTAGTCGTTATATATGCTTGTTACGCTTTTGCTTCCTTCAATAAAGGTTTTGGATGTGTTTGCTCTTGTGTAATGACTTTCAATTTTTGGTATTTTATCTACGAATTCCTTAATTCCAGCTTTTAATTTAGGATCAAGTTTTTTCTGTTTCCCGTGTTTACCTCTTTGGTCGGGTTCTAATATTTGGTTAGCGAGTTTTTGATGCTTATCCAATACGTTTCTAATTGAACGATCGGTGATAGCCAGGGTGTTTTTAAAAAACAGTTTGCAAACGAGCACAATCTCATCACCTTGTTTAAAAAAAAAACGCATTATTATTTTGGCGAGGCCCTCTTGTTCCCCCAATGCGCATGTACCGGTATCTGGGCTCAATTTTTTGCATACATTTGTCGATATATTGTCTTTGCTTTTCTATGTAACCAAGGGCCCAGTATAAGTTAAACAAATGTTTTCGTTCGTCATCACTAAAATTTTTGTAACATACGAGCTTACAAGTCTCAGCACATGGAGTTTTCATTTGTCTTGCAGGTTTAACTTTTTTCATCAACGTGTGTGTTTCATACTCCATTCCACTATTTCTTTTCTTTTTAATGATGTTCCTCTTCCATTTTTCTGGCTGTTTTGGTCTTTTTTCCCCTTTTTCAATGGACTATTTGGAATTATGGAAGAACT